GGGCTGCCTGTCACAACTCCAGTCCGGCGCGCGGATGACGTCATACACAAAATGTATAAATATAAAAAATATAATCACGGATGTCTGAGGGACAGTGATTCCCCTAAATGTTATGACTGTTAGCGTACCATAAATGATAAATTATGAACAGTTTAGTTTGTGCCTTCAACTCGTTGCCCACAGGTAGACGTTACGAGGATATAACGGAATATCTTCAGAACAGCTCCAAATGACACAAAACTAATATGGGTGAGTAGAACATGATGTAATAACATACAATCAAGGGACCAATGTAAAAAAACTGTTTTTTTACATATATGCCTTTTATTTTATACTTGATCATTTTTATCTTAATTTAAGTTTGTTTGTCCTTTTTGAATGACCATTATTCATATGACAACATGTCATATAAATGACCAGTATGTTGAATCTCTCTGAAGAAAAGGCTGGAGGCCCATTAAAAGACTCAAATAAACTAAAGCTGTTTTTCTTTTTGGTCACATTTTCTTCAAAGGTATCATATTCATCTATTTTTGAAAATACAAAAATATCAACATTGAGGCCCCCACAGTGTGTTTTTTTCATTCACTCAGTAAAATTCCTCACAGGTTAGGCAGATGGCCTTTACCAAAAACCCCTCATTCATTCAGCCCTGTTCAAAACAAGCTGTTTTGACTTTCCACACCCGCCCCCTACAACCTTCGTTTATAAAGATACCCTAGGAGCACGGAGTTATAACGACGATGAAGGATGTAGCTTGGTCGATGGGCTGCTAAAAACCGCTCTGCACAGCTTTCCCCTTATGACATCATAAGGGGAAAGCTTTTCAAACATAGCATTCTGAGCACACATTAGCTAAGAGTTGGAGAAAGGCAATGATAGAGGTGAAAAGGTTTTGTTTATTTTGTCAATCCCCAAAAACAGGCTTCATGACACATATCTCTGTTACAAAATGTTTATGATGTGAATTTAGCATAATATTCGACCTTTCATGGAAAAGTATGGGGGCCTTTTTCTGCCACTATTATAATTATCACGTAACTATCTCATAACTCATTATTTTGAAACACTATCTCATTATTAGGAAATAGCTAAGTCCTGACTCAGCTATCTCATGAGATAGTATCTCATCATTATGAGATGTTGTTGACTTGTTTCTTTCATGATATGATTTTTTGCATTCACTGCTTGGTCAAAAGCAGCTTCCTCTTCCTACCACTAGCACAAAACCTGGTCCATATTTGCATCATACTGCTGTCTTCCGGCTCCTCCTCCTCTTCAATTGAGATGTAATGTATCTAGTTTTAAGATTACAGCTGTAGACACTTTATCCCTTTTAAGGTATTTTCCACATTAAATATACAACATCTTATGTTTTTTATATAGTCTTTTATTGAACCATTTATTTAAGATCTTGTTGTTTTAAATCAGTTTAACGAGTCAACTAGCTCAGACACACAGCAAGCTAAAACTGTGAAAAGTACAACTCAAAAATAGGTAGGAAAAAAAATATATATATATATATATATATATAAATATATATACTTGTGCTGATATGGAACACCTATAGAAAGTAAACTCATCATACATGCAATATACCAGTGGTTTAATGGATAGAATAAAGCAGTCCCATCAAACATTATGAGATCTATCAAAATAGATTATATCAGCCCTCAGCTTATATTACATGTTTTTGGACTTAGATACACACTTAATTAGTACAAAGATTTTAAATTAAATGATTTATTGTATACTGTACAGAGTCACCTTTTGGGGATTTAAAATCATGACAGAATAAAAAACAACATCCAGTATTTCAAACATTGATAATTTTCCTAGTTTTCCTATCATTTCTAAATTAAAATGATAGAATGACATATGCTTTTCAATCGGTTACTGGATTTCAGCCCCAAAGGAAAAATTTAACATCAACCTATATGCTGATACCAGTTTGTCTTAACATATTTAATTTCGCATAACTACACACATGCAGTTTGCATGTTTTTGTAATGGCCTAGCAGGTGAATTTTAAATGAACATGAACCTACCAAATCTCATTATTTAATCAAAAAACTAAATGGCTAAATCATTTTATAATAAAAGCTTATTTTCAATTAATCAAGGGATATTTTCTTCCCCATTTAAGCTGAGCAGGATCAGAGTAAGACATTCTAACTGTTTAGGCCACACAACAGTTCACAGACACACCACCTAAAGCACAAAATCATGTGATAAATCACGAGGAAACAAGGAAGCTTTGTCAACACTAAAATGTATGATTATTTTTACATACACCACTGGGGTATTTCAGTGAGTCATTTAAGTTCAAATAAAATATTTTCACATGCACAGAAATCCTAACACTGTACAAATGAAATAACATAGATAACTTTTACTATTAAGGGGATATAAAAGGTACTTTTAAATGAGACTAAAAAAAGTTAGGCACAATAAACAGGACACCAAATTAAATGTTTCCTTATTGATATGAGCAAATTCGTACATCTTAAATCTAACCATTATGTTTCCTTGGAAGAAAATGAATATTTGGTTTAGGTTACAAACATTACCCCAAATTTTAAACATATCAGAGCTCTGCCCTTTTTATTATCTGACAATACAAAGTACAAAGATTCAGCTATTAGCTCCAACAGCTTTTTAGTCAATGAGAAAAAGAGTGTTATGCAGGGAAAAGCAAAGTGTAAGTGTGTCTTAGAAACTTGAAATTATTGACAGCAATAGCTTAGCTGATGAAGCTCTCCAAGATGGTGTCACAGCTGAACAGCTACCTAGGCCATATGTAGCCTCAATAAATATAAAAAATAAACATAACACATAGTAGCAGAAGCAACAATACATAATGTAAATTGGATAGAAGTAGAATAATGTATCTGATTGCAGAGATGGGGGATCTGGAGTCAACAAGTCATGTCTATGTCATGTCTTCTTGCCAAGCCAGTGAACCAAGTGAGTCCAATCTGCACAGGTTAAACCAGATTGGACCCACCTGCTTCAGTGGCTAGACAGAACAAATACATGACATAAAGATTGTTGACTCCAGATCCCCCATGTCTGTCTGAGTGAGAAAAAGCAGTCAGTATGTCCTCCAGCAGACTAAGGCTACAGCAGCATAAGCCACTCTAACTGTAAGCTCTAAACTTGGATGAAGACTAGGAGCTGGTTCAATATGAGAGGCATCTGCCCTCTGTTCTACTTTTATAAACTGTGAGAACCATCATTAAAACCTCTGAAATGAAGCTAAAGGTCCAAAAGTTCAAAGGGACCAAATATTTTCGCAAGGCACCGTATATGAATGAATACAGCTTCTTTTCAAAGATTCATTTCCAAACAAGACAACTTTTGTCTACATTTAAAAGCACAAAAGTAAAGTTTATCCAAGTTTTTTATGCCTTAAAGACTTGCATGTACTACTTAACTGATTCATTTAATCAGGATGAATTATAAATACAACTGAGTATGATCAACATAGTAGTGACAATATATTCCAGACTGTCTGGTCATTGTATTATGTGTGTAAGAATGTGGCTTGGATAGCAGAAGTACCACAGGAGATTCTTTTTTTTTTTTTTTTTTTTCCTTCTTTCTTTTGAATAAGGTGGATCTACATTGGAGTTACTTTGCCACCTCAGGAAGTCCGGATGCAAATTTGCAGAAGTTTTTTTCATTGCACGTTTTAGACAACTACTCCAGTTAAAGATTCTTTGATTACTAATTTGGTAAATTATTATTTCAATAACGGAAACGATGCAGGGTTTCAGACCAAAGGCTTACCTTATTAAAACATGCATATAGTAATAAAAGTTCAATAAAATGCATGCAGAAATGCATTTTCTCAGACGATGCAACTTACTTTTCCTAAAACAGATCTTTCAAAACAGGGATTACTTTCCTAAAAAAAAAAAAAAGATAATTAAAATAAAGAAGGAAAGTTACATCAAAGTAACAGTTTAACAGAAAAATGACAAATCAGACTTGACTATTTCAGCAATATACCGAATAATACAAACATGCACTGCAAAAAATAGAAATCCAAATAAGTAATTTTTTCTTAAAATAAGTGCATTTTTTTCTTGAATTTAGGTGGTGAGACACTTTGCCAATGGAGCAAGACAATTTACATTTAAAATAAGAAAAAACAATTACATTGTCTTATTTCAAGTGCATATTATCTAATTATTAAGAGCAAAACTACTCATTCTATTGGCAAATCATCTTATTTACCTGCTCAATTAAGGGGAAATACACTTAATTTAAGAAATGTTTACTTATTTCTAGATTGCTTTTGCCGTGTGCAGTTTTCCCCCTTAAAGGCTGTGTCACACTGCCTTGACAGATACGATTCTTGTGATGCATTCATACTTGTCCAAACACAGGCCATGGAAGTTGTTGCTAAGCAACCTAAAAATAATCTTCCAGGGATAGATGGGAGGAAAACAGCTAAGCACTGCAGAGTACAGGGCATCTATGGCATGGTGTTTATCGCTGCAGTGAAAGCAAGAGGTTTTTGATCTAATAAGACATTATCAAATAGAAAATTTTACACTGATCACTGCGGCTGACAACAGGGGAGCATTTGGGGTAAATTAAGGGTCCCAAAGCACTTTAGCAAACCATGACTGGGAGCCAGCAGGGCCCAAACACGACCATCTGTCTGCTAACACGACCACTGCAGGAGGTTTGGAAAGACTGGAGCAGACTTTCAAAATAAGCCTCTGCCCCCACAGCTGTGCATGGGGGGTCAAGCTGTGATGGAGGTGGTAGGCTTTCCTTTTAGATGACCTTTTGTGACTTTGGAGGTAATTTCAGGGTGTCCACCCCCCCAGACAAATGTGCAATAGAGGGATAGGTCATTAAACACCAGCTAGAAAAAAATTAAACTCTCCCTAAGGGTGTTCAAGCAATTTTCATCGAATAATATGTTGTTACTCCGCGTCTAAAACACGGCAACCATCTTTTTTTCCCAACCAGATGTTCAGCCAATCAGAAGCAACGCTGATTCCAGCGGAGAAAGGAGGCGGAGGGAAGAATGCTGCGGGATGCTCATTGTTATGGCTGTCAAACCCCCACTGAAGACGGGATAAAGAACCAGCTGGTTTCATGCGAGGTTGAAGCGGAGGATTAACGCCATGTCCGCCGCAGCTGTCGCGGTGTTGCTCGGAGCGGGTACGTATCGATTTAACCCTGACATTAGGCGCTTTGGCGGCGGCGAGGCTAGTTAGCATGCTAGTTAGCCTGCTGCTGTTTTAGCTGCTTCGCTCATTTCTTCCAGAAGGCTGAGGAGGAGACGTGGAAAAAATGGCTACCAGCTGACAGAGAGACCGTTAAACCAGGACTTAATGTGTCACAGCACTGCTAAAAACTAATTTAAAATGTTATAAATGTTATTTGATGAACAACATGTAGATACTTTTATAAAGCTAATAATAACGGTTCTACTTTGTTTTCCCAGCCATCATTTTTAAATGGAAATCAGGTGTTTACGTTTCTTTTCTGCATGGGCAGTTATGAGTTACGCTGTCTAGAGTTTTCTTTTTAGTTAATTAGGATATTACCAGAAATAACATTTATTTCCTATTTCCTTTAAAATCTAAAACTTATTAATCTACTTATAGACTATCTAATATTGTTGATTAAGGCTTGGACATTTAAAGTTTCTTACAAAATAAGAATATTCCTTAAAACCATTAGAAATTATTTAAATACATAATCGTTCACTGAAAAAAATAATGCTACTGCACAACACAATTGTTTTATGTCCTATCCTGCTAACATGAAACAATTGTGTTAAATTAACTAAATATGATTAAGTAAATGCCAAAAATGGTTGCATTGTTTTTTTTTTCAGTGTACTCTATAGTCGTAAAAGGTAACTACTACTACTAAAGATTTGGGCGGTGCAGAGAGTGCTCTTTTCAAGCGTTTCAATAGAAAGTTAAGTGGAGGGAAAACTTATGTCAAAAAATGCTTTTAAATACGATAAATTGCCAAGGTATTAAGGGAATTGCAAACTTCAGCTGGAGTCTGTTTCTAGGCAGTCACATCACCCGAACAAGATAAAATGTTAGAAGATTTTCACCTCAGCTACAAAGATTAATGCCTAAACTGCACCAGTCTGGTGCTGCTGTTTTTGTCAAAACTAAAGAGCTGAGCTGTTGTTATTTAGGACTATTATGTAACTGTCAAAGTTTGGTTGTGGTTTTTAGACCCAAATGCAGAGGCAGGGAGGCAGAGGTGAGTTTCTTGTTCACAAACAACTGAGGAAGGAATCCAAAAATTCAACATGAAAAATGTAAAACAAACCAGAACCGTGGAGACATCAGGGGAAAACGATAATGAGGAGCCAGGGTAAGACAGGAACCAGCACTAAGGAACTGCACGAGGAGAGTATTAATGGTAGACTGAACAAATAGAGGACTAACGAGCTGATTGGGAGCAGGTGTGAAGAGAGCAGCCTAGGAAGCAGCTGGGGAAAAAAGACCAACACAAGAGGGTAACAGTGGGCAACGAATAAAAACCTAAGAACTCAAATATATCCAGAAAATACAACAAAGTAGGAATTAAACCAATAAAACTAGAAAACATGGAGCAAAGTAAAACATAACAGAACCAAGACCGTGACAGTAACCTGGTATCTGGGTGAAGAAGAGATTGATGAAACAGCTCCCTCATGCATCTGGTTCTCCACAACCTCCCTCTAAAACAACTATCCACAACAGATACAGAGAAGAGTTTCAGTGTAGTTAAAAATGCTTTATAAATCTTGAAGGATATAAAATCAACCATCCTTCTCCCTCGTACCACCTCCACAGTATATAGGAGAAACCCTACGATAGAGCTGGCCTTAAAGTCCGGTGTATTCAGTCTGTTCCTGTCATCTGCAGAGCGGCATTTATCTCAGCAGGTCACTCTATGATATGTAGCTAATGCAACCACAGTACTCTAGACAGTATCAGAAAGTTTTAGAGCATTTTATATTTTTCTCTATGAGCAGAGAGAGGCTGATCTTATACTGTAGCTGAACTTTAGACCTCTACGTGATGTCAAGAGTACCAATACCTTCTGTAATGATTTTTTTACTGCGGGTAATTGGCAATCAAACTCACCTGACTTAAATAGCTTAAAGGATCTCTGGGTTGCTGCCAAGGGATAGATTATAAACAAAAGACAGGAGCAAGTTGATATTCTATAAAATATTAATGTGTGTGTGTGTTAAAAGCTCCTAGTTTATCATACAGGTGCTGAAAGCTAAAAACTTTTGAGTGGAAAAGTTATCAGTTCCCACTAGGGGTGTAAATAATAATCGTTTTGTATCGATGCATCGATCCAAAAGCCGACGATCCGATACATCGACACGTCCGCAAGATAATCGATTCATGTTTTTTTTTCCTCCGGTCTATTTTTATCCATTTGCTCCTGGGCGTAATTCTCCCTCCCGTGCTGCGGTGCCGCTAAACCTATTTTGCCCTCCTACCGCGCTTCCTGGTTATACTCTTACAGCAGTTTGTTGCAGCAAGCTTCACACAGACATTTTTAAATTATGCTCAGTATTGAAGCGTGGTCTGAGCTACACACTGTGGGTCTAGATATGGCCGAGGCGGTGAGGAAGTGGGGGCGAGTTTAGTCCGACGACGAAGGGACATGAGGGCAAAAAGAGCGGAGATTCAGCTGGAAAAAGGGTCCCAGCGTTCTCGCGCACCTCGCTCTTCTAGCGGGTCAAACTTCATGAGTTGTTTTCTGCAATTTCGGTCATAAAAACAAAACAAGCCGGCCTCCTGTCTGGTGCACTGTTTGCGGTCAGCTACTATCTGGGAGAGGAGCAGCGGAGCGTCTCTCAAGGGGGCGGTGACGTCAACACTCTGAAGCCTTCTTCTTCTTCTTTTTTTTAATGGCGGTTGGCAAACAACTTATAGGTGCATTACCGCCACCTTCCAGAATGGAGTATGGACCAGAAAAACTATTATATTCTCCCTAAAATACCCGTTCTTCTTAGAAAATTAAAAATACTACCAAAAACTACATCCCCAGATGACCTTTGAAACAATTCCCTTATATGTAGTTTATTTTTATTCCTGTCTAACTCTCTAAGCAACATCTCTCTTTCCTGAGTATATTTATTACATTCTAAAAAAATATGTTGGACAGTTTCTCTGGAGCCGAGGTATTGCATTGAACTCATTACACTGATATTGTGCAGTATTTTTGCAGTATTTTTTTATGCAACTTTTCTACTTCTGTTATTTGCTGTTGTTTCTAAAGAAAATGCATAATGATATTACAGCTTTCTTTGATTTATTTCAAACTTGAAACTTTGTTTAGCCTGTAAGGTGTAAAAAAAAAAATTATAATTAAAAAAAATATAACCGATTAATCGAATCGAATCGAATCGTGGTGTATTCTTGAGTATCGAAAATAATCGAATCGTTGGGTCAGGAAATCGATACTGAATCGAATCGCCATGATGGATGTGATTTACACCCCTAGTTCCCACCAACCTCAAAACCAGTTAACTTGCTTTACCTGTAATACTTAGTGAAACAGTTAGTAATAACTGCATAAAAATATTTATCTCTTGGAAGATTTGTGTCTCATTAAGTCTTCCACATAAATATTTTGTTCGTCTTTTATTACGGTGGTTAGCAGATAAAGAACAAACCAGATCCTCCATACCAACAGGAAGTCTAGCTTTAATGCATGGTATTTAAAATGGTTGGAGGAAGAAAGGAGAATTTTAATATCATTCATTTCATTTTAAAACACATAGTCTTAGAGTATAACAGAATAATGTCAAAGTTTTATATATATATATATATATATATATATATATATATATATATATATATAAATAACACTGGTAATCTGAGGAACTTCTGTTTAGTGGAAAAAATTTGCTGCTGTTTTTACTGTTTGTATAATTTTTTTCCTGTGATTGCAGCATTTTTTGTTCGGTTTTCAGTGTTTTCCTGTTGCGTTTTTTTTGTGTGTTTGCGCATTACACAAGTTTTTGCACCTCATTTTGTTGTTTCCTGCCCATTTGCACCTGTTAGCCACAGTATGTCATTTTTAAAGGCAAAGTACATGTGAATACGTTAGCGGCTTGTATTGGTAATAGAAGTTAGCCTGGTTAGTGAGCTTATATATTAAACCATAAGGGTGTAGGATCTCAGAAATGAAACACAGTCAGGTTGTGTTTCATGCTCTTACCGGATTTTAGTGACATCTTTCTGGTTAACTACAGTCCAGTTAAAGGTCCAGTACGGACTCAAAAACTCACTGTTTCTAGCACAAAACAAGACCTCTGGCTGCACCCAGAATAGCCTAAAACTGAAAGTAAAAAAAAAGATGATTTACATTTTGTAAGAGACTAAGCCCCTAACTGTAAACACTGGCTCTGTCCATGCTCAAACCCATGGAATATATTACAGAAAAAAAAAAAAACAGAAACATGGATGTTCTGTTTAAAAAACATTTTTAGATGTAAACTGCTGTGATTTAGTTGCATTTTTGCTGCTATCATTTTGTCCATTTAAATGTACCTGAGTATCAAGAAATTTAACCATAACAACAGAAAATCACTATTACTTATGCTGGGAAATCTTAGACTTGGACAACTTTTATTGCTTTTTTTTGTATACACAGAGCTGTACTGAAAGCTGTATAAAACGAAATTTCGTTTTGTGCAGCTTTCAGAACATTTCCATTCCATAAAGTGTAGCAGTGATCAAACATAAACAGTGTGGGAGAAAAACGTTTAGAGTAAGCACAATTCATGGTTTGTTGTGTGAAACTGCTTTTTTTCTTCATTTTGCCAGCTATTATGTGTAGGTGGGAAAGGGGATTGTTCCAGAAATCTACTGAAAAGCCCCCTTGTTTTATGCATGCTTCTTATTTATTGATCCAGTTGTTCACGTTGTGCATGCCCATGATGAAACACTCAGTGATTTTCATGAGAGAAAAGTCGTTTCGGAGCAGGCCATGGCTTTGCTGCAAAGAAGAACCTTAAACAAAGACGGTGAGTGGGTTTGTGCGGTGGTGCGCTTAAGACGCTGACCCGCTGTCTCCTCCCTCCCCATCATAACACAGTGACAAGATCAACCGGCTCCGCTTTTGCCAGCAGCATTATTATTTGTACCTGCTTTCTTTCCCTTTTGCTCTTTTGCCCTAACAGCAGCTGACTACATTTAGATCTTGTTCCTGAGAGATTTTATCCTAATTCTGCCTGACAGAAAAATATAAGATATTTTCTACAACAGTTATACCTCCAGCTTTTACTCCTCCCCCCAAAGGATACAGAATATTTTATTGTTTTAGAAAATAGGTTTTACCTTTTTAGAGTTCTTGGTGATGAGTCTTGTTGCTTTGTGTCCACTGTTGTCCTTAGTCCTCTAGTTCATGTTGCGACAGTAGCTACTTTCACTTCCATGTGTGACTTCAGAATAACAAGTTTAGACTCATCAGAGGCAGAATGGCCGGACACAAAGAGTCACAATCCTAGCTGTTTCTGCTTTCTTGCCAACCACCAAGAAAGCACATGAATTCCTCCTGACCTGGAAGAAATGTGCATATGAGGCTCAGAGGGACACGCACTGCCTTGGCTCTACCTCTGCTGGATAAAACCGTTATGGTAGCTCAGAGTTTCTGAGAGGCCTCCCGTGATCTGTTCCAAGGTCAGCAAAGAAATGCATAAAATCTGGTTAGCCATTTCCACCGCTCTCCAGCTCTGTTACCAAGTTATATCACTGCCACATGCAACGTTTTCTAAACCTCTGAGCTGATTTATTAAAAGATTTTTCATAATTATTTAGGGAACAGATTTATTTATTTTTTATGTTTTCTGGGAGGATTTGTGGCATATTTAAAGTATCATCCAGTTTGTCCTGTCTGTCATTTTTCCCAGAGGAAAGTCAGCAGATGCAGGAGTGTGCAGTTTAGCATTAACCTTTAATCGGTGATGTATTATACACCTGGATGGAGAACCGAGATTCATCATCTGGAGAAAGCCTGGCAGAGTCGCCCAGGCACAAATAAGCAGATTGAGGGCTATAAGCAGCTCTCCTGTCACACTAAGTGACTGATCTTTATTTACGCTGGCTTACAAGGGTGGAGGTGAAACGCGGCCTAAAGGAGACTCAACTCTGGAGTGTGTTTCTGCTAAGTTACTGCTGTATAATGATAGATTGATGTTTGATGGGATCATTGGTTATTTTTTTATCCTATTCTGGGCCTTTATTTCCATGTGGGCCCCATTTCTTTACCTATAACAAATGTTCACACCATATCAACCTGGCTTTAAGGGCGGAGCCAGTATTTGACCTGTCTGAAAATGGTCCTTTGCTTTCCTGGAAAGCTGCTGAGGCTCATAGGCTCAGATCATAGAACTGGAGTGAAAAAAAAATCAGCCTTTATAGGGTGAAATAAAAAGAGGTTTTATTTTTGGTCTTAAACTAACCCAGAGATTGACGTTTTGTTCGCAGTAGCTGCAGCCAGATGAGCTATTGTGTGGATTATTCGTGCTCAGCTGATGCCTTCAAAAAAGAGACATGGTGGACTCAGGTTGTTCCAGCGTCACCAGATTTAGTGGCTGTTAAATGCTATTATTGATTGTATCAAGCTGGGACCGGGCCCTCTGGGACCCCGGACATATGGCCAGGTCAGCGTCTGTGTTTCTGGCAGCAACAAGGCTCTTTAGAATTGTAAATGTTGATTATAATCTGCATTTTCTGAACCTTTTTCAAGGGGGGTTGAGAGTATTTTTCATTCTGACTTTTTTAAGCATCAAAATGATACATAAATAATAGGTTATTTTTATCCTTTCAAATATAAGAAAATCAATACAAAAATTTAAATAAATATGTCATTTGATGGCAAAATGCTGTGCCATGAATATTTTTCTTTAACAAATTAGTGCCAAGCAACGGAGGTAGATGACATATTTTTTTTTCGTGTTACCATGGATGGATAGAGTGATGGTAAGGAAGTTAAAATATCCCAAAAGCTACAGCAAGGAGTTGCCTCTTGGATTCCCTAAACATCCATTACATATAGTACATTCTAGGCCAGCTGGTATTCCAAGAAAAAAGCAACCAATAAAAAAACTCTGGAAAACTCTCCAGGGACGTAAACTTGTACCATTTACTTTTAATATGTAACTTTTGAGTAATGATTCAGGGTGGTTTAATATAAAACAGAAAAAAATAAAAATAAGATGTGTAAAAAGCACCACATGGCAATTGTTAGGTATGTTGGAGAATCTGTGATGCTGTGGGTCTGTTTCTCCTCCTTAGTCCCCAGGAATGAATGCATGGGGTTATGAATTCTTTGAAAAAAATGGATGTTTCAGCAGGATAATGAGCCAAAGATGTTGAAAAAGGAACAGGGAAATGATTCACCAGCTGCAGAATCAACCCTCTTTAAAGATTTACAAATGTTATGGTCTGAGCTGATAAAAAGAAATAGGAGAAGACCAGGGACTCAAATTCTTTTTAGGAGATAATGTTGGTGCGATAAAGGATTCATTTCTGCAAAGACTTTTAACATATTTTACCAAGGGTGCCAAAACTTGTCAAGGTTTACATTAATCTTACTCCAGTCTCTTGGTTCTCTGTGGATATAAACTCTTATTATGCAAGAAGATGCATCAGAGGCATCTGAAACAGAAAAGTGATTTTGCATTATGTATATCAGGGGTTGGCAACCCAACTGCTCCAAGAGCCACATTGGACCAAAAAACAAATCTGTCTGGAGCCACAAAAATGTAAAAGTCTTATATAAGCCTTGTATGGCAACATGGGCTCTAAGTGTATTAGCCCACTATAAAAAAGGAGTATGTGGGCTTAAATATATAATAAGCATTCATGATTTAATGTTTATCCTGGAGCAAATGTCACATAGTAGCATGAGGTGAGGAGAAGTGAACGATGAAATTATAGAAACACGATAAAATAATCTTTCTATGGTGGACGTGTTTCTGTTAGGAGTTGATTAAGTCATGAGGAACCAAGCAGGAACTGACATCCATCATTATTACACAAATGTTTACAGCATTGGAAAACATCCTTCAGCACACCGCATTAAAATAAACAAATAAATGTTCATACATTTTTGAAAAAGCTCCACGGGTTGACATTTGTAGTTTTAATCTACAGAGGACTTTTTATTACGGCATAGAAACCTGAAATACCCAGCAGCTCACCAGTAAGGATCCAAATACATTTTTTTTTAGCTTTATTCCAGCTGTTTAATGCATCCTGTATTGATCTTTCAACCGGCCAGAGCAGCTAAAACCTGCCTTCTCCCTTTCCCTTCATGGTGCATATCTCCTACCCATAGCTCCTTCCTCCTCCTCCTCTTTCTTACCTTCACATTCAGACTCCCATGGTGATGAAAAATTGATTTCCCTCTTACTGTGGTACAGAGCAGCAAAACAAGTAAGATTATATAAAAAAGTGCCAAAAAAAAACTCAAAACACACAAGTTTAAAAGTTGAACCGAAGAAGAGAAAAACAAACATTTGGATGATCAAAATTCTTCTAATATAATCCTTTCTTTAAGCTGTTTACTAATATAGAATACGTGTTGCTTTAAGTGGAAATTGAAGCATAAAAGAACCACCCAGCACACTCCGGATGACTTTTTACTCCTGCTTTTTAACAGTTGTCTTCGCTTAGTTCCCCTTTCTATTTATAATTATGCATTTATATAGAGAAGTATAAGTGCTTCCCTTTTTAATGTAGTGCTGGATGTTAAATGACAGTAAACTCCAGATGTTCAGCAGCTTTGAGGAACCAAACTCCATGTTCTTTTAAATGTGTGTTTCAGTCATCACCATCCTGTCAAGATGCCACGCAGAACGTAACGTCTACCCATCTGCTGGAGTTCTGTTTGTCCATGTTCTGGAGAGAGAGCACTTCAAAGGAGAGTTTCCTCCTTACCCCAAATCAGGTACAACCAAGCACTTTCATAGTTGGTCTGATCTAGAGATGCCTCAAAATACCAACTAGGGACCAGAATCAGAGAGCTAAATCAGTTACACGCCTTCTATTCAGCTAATGGGTCTAAATTCTGATTTTGAAACTGGCAAATTGTTAAGCAGGCGTCTCCCCAGGTGATGCCAGCAATGATCCAATCACCTTTAACACCAACCTGAAAGGCTACCCCGACAGACCAGGCTGGCTGCGCTACATCCAGAGGACTCCTCTCGGCGACGGCGTCCTCTATGGTTCTCCTACCGCAGAGCATGTTGGAAAGCCCACTGTGATAGAGGTGAGTGATTGGACCCCACTCACTTATGTTTACAGTTAGAAACCGACAACAAAAACAACTATTTTAATCTCCATAAACATTCATGTGATGGACCAACACAAAGTTGTTTGTAATTAAAGGGGAATTATACAAACCCTTCCTTTTTTTTTAGGAAACTTAAAAAATTAACATAATTTAAAACTTAGAAGTGTGGCTTATATATATTTATTATATTAATTTGGTAATTTTGCCACCACAAAATTAAAGTACATAATTACTGGTCAGTTGTTCATGAATTCGGGCAAATTCTGTTATTAGAGCTTCAAATACAACTGGGATTCAATTAACAAAAATATAAGATATTTAATATTAATAAATGAATCAAATAATGGACTACATATTTGTGAAAAATGTACAGTGATTTACATTATTTTGGTGTGTCTGGTGTGAACTATCAATGCATGCTTGACATTTGCCCAAAAGAACATTAAACAAACATCATTGTGATGAAGGAAGTACACAGCAGAAAGGAAAAGTTTAAAGCAGAGATAGATTATGAAACCTGACTGACTGGAGCAAAGGGGAGTCTAAAGGCCCCAGGTATCTCTGGAGGAGCTGCAGAGATTGACAGCTCTGGTAGGAGGATCTGTAAGGACCACAACTATTATTTAATCACTCTGCTAATCTGGTCTTTATGGTAGAGTGGTAAGGCGAATTGTTAGAAAGCAACATGAAATCCTGTGGAGCTAGCCACAATCAGTGCAGGCGAGGAAACACAGCAACCTATAGAAAGGCTTGAACACTGCATGACCATGGCTAGGGTAAAATACGGTGGTGGCAGCATCATGCTGTGACAGAGTTTTCTTTTTTGATTTTAAGCAGTAGAGACAGAAAATCTCCTGACAATTGAAAGCAAAATTAATTGAACTAATTATTTGGAAATTTTGGAGGAAAACCTGTCACAGCCTGATAAGGTCTGAATAAATGCACAAAATTCTATGTTTTAAAATATTTTGTATCCCGATAAAGTACAATCTGAAATAATATCATAGCTTACCTTTTTTCCAACTTTAATTTGAAGTGATATTTAGCCTGTCACATATAAGAAATGCACATTTTAGTGCTAAAAAATTTATCAAATGACAACAAGATATAGAGCTACAGTAGTTTTCATGTTTTTTCCTAGCAATATGGAGCGAGTAGAATTTAATTATCAGAATTAATTAAGTTTTTAACATTTTTTAAAGTTTACAACTGTTTCAATTTTGAGTTTCTGAGCAGTAACTTACACTTATGGTAACTAAATCAATCTTATATCAAACTAAACAAAAACTGTTTCAAGTTTCTGAAATCTATAACTTTTTAGTGGAAAGTTCGCAGATGATACTATAAAATAAATGCCAGTAATTAACATAGTTTAAAGGGATGAACTTTCAACAAAAGTGCAAAAATCCAAGACTGGCAGCAAAACATGGATGTGCAGTCTTTGACCCAGGGGGCTGCATTTAAAGGAATGGTACACCCAAAACATGATTAGCCTTCATTTTCTACTCACCCCCATGCTGAACAACACTCTGGAGTACTTTTTTGATATCTCAAATGCATCTGGAGATCTGGGAGGCTTCTTGCTGTCTGCTGACATTCAAATAATTGAGGTCTATGGCGCCCGAGGCAGAAAGGTCCATAAAAGTCCACAAAAAACGTTTCAATATTCCTCCATACTGCTCGTCCAATGTATTCCAAGTGTCCTGAGTGGGTAGCATCCAGAATTTACTCGAAACGAAGTCATTTAGAATGTTTTTAGAGCATAAACAGTAGTGTATAGGATTTCCTGAAAGCGCGCACCTGCGCGTTCATGACGCTACGGAAGCCGGCAGACCAAACCAGATGAAAGTGCGCATTCAGCGTCTGCTCTGCCAATAATGCAAGCGTAGAAGAAGAAATGTGCTGTTTACCTGTGCAAAGAAAGAAACAACGAAAGAAAAATGTCTGAGGACTTCAGTGTTGAGGAAGAGCATGAGTTCTTTGCCGAGCTGAATGCTTTCGTATGGGTTGGTCTGCCGCGGTTTCCGTAGCGCCGTGAACGCGCTTTCAGGAAATCCTATACACTACTGTTTATGCTCTAAAAACATTCTAAATGACTTCGTTTCGAGTAAATTCTGGATGCTACCCACTCAGGACACTTGAAATACATTGGACGAGCAGTATGGAGGAATATTGACACGTTTTTTGTGGACTTTTATGGACCTTTCTGTCTCGGACACCATAGACCTCCATTATTTGAATGTCAGCAGACAGCAAGAAGCCTCCCAGATCTCTAGATGCATTTGAGATATCAAAAAAGTACTCCAGAGTGTTGTTCAGCATGGGGGTGAGTAGAAAATGAAGGCTAATCATGTTTTGGGTGGACTATTCCTTTAAATGCAAAATGGCCTAATTGTCAGATTCTACTTTTTGAAAACCAATAAATAATCTTTCTCCCTTCTTATGATTATTAACTACTTTGCATAATTTAAAATAGCAAATATTTGGTGGCAACCTGACAAAATACAACATAGAAAAATAGACAATAGAGAATAATTAACTTTGCTTAACATTGTAAATGGAATATGTTCCTCTAAACCCTGTCAGGTGTATGATCATAATTGTATGTGGTTTTTAGACCTGAATTCTTCTCTGTATTTTCTCATGTCTTTGTGGAACCGTAAGCTAGAGTTAACATTCCTTTCTCAGTAGGCTTAGCATGTTGACGACGCTCATGTGCCTTTTTACGGTGCCTCAGCTGAGTACAGATTATTATATTTTGCATCGAGCTGCAGCCATATAAGTTATACTGATCGCAGCTTAAACTTTGACCACTCTTTGTTGCAGATTACTGCCTATAACAGACGCACGTTTGAGACGGCACGGCACAACCTGGTCATTAACATCATGGCAACAGAAGGTAGGAGGTGCCGGAATGAATGAATAGAGTCAACAGAGAGCTGACTGAGAAGCTTTAGGTTTGGTTCTTTTAAACGGAAAGAAAAAAGAGGCCATCGGTTACTCTCACCACCTGCAGATAATCAGATGGGCGGGTGTGTTATAGTGGAAAGAGAGAGTCGGTCTGAATCATTCTTACTGGAATGAACAAAAACCTTATAAGCATAGCAGAAAAATCTACATTTCCACTACATCTGCTGCCTTTCATTAGATGACATATTCAGCTCAGAAACACAGGATGTGAGGAGCGATTGGTACCAAGCTAAATCAAGTCCCTATATCTGCTAAAGCTGCAACTAACCAATATTTTGCAAATGAATTAATCTGTCGATTAGTTTTTCAATTAATCCATTAATAATCTGATAGCCAGGTAAAACTAAAACTTTTCCACTTAAGGAATCCTGGATAGAACATACAACATTATTTTTTATCTTAAAAGCGAAATATTTACATATTGTTTTACAATTATTATATAATTACACCTCTAAGTGGGTTGCTCGGTCAGCTAAAGGCATGTTTTACAGTCTCTATACTCCAGTTAAGGATTAATCGATTACTAAATGAGTTGACGTTTATTTCATTAATCGATTAATTACAAATAATCCGATTAATTGTTTCAGCCCTAATCTCTGCACTCTGTCGCTAATACATACATGCACTGAAAACAGTAACAGTGAGTAACATGGAGACACTCAGTTATATTTTCCTTTATTACATTTTACCTTAAAAATGTTTAAATTGTGAAACAACAAAGAGTCCAAAGGAAATATTTACTAATTCTGTCCTCTCTCTGATCTGAAGGTTCACCTGCTGTATCCGGCTCATCTTTTATTGCTCTTATTGTCCAGATATTTGTTGGTTTATGAAAATAACATTTTAATTGCTTTACTGGATTTCTTGTAAAATGACCTTATGATGATTTTTTATTAGTTAAATTACTTAGCTGTACTTTGATATTATTCTTATTTGTTGTGTTTAGTATTAAAAGGGATATAAATTACTTTTCAAATTTTTAATCGCAGTAGCTCTGAAAGATTGCCACAACCTGCTGTCGTATTCATCTTTTTTTTTTTTTTTGCAAAACAAAGCCTTTCTCTGTATATTAACAAACACAAAAGCAGAGCTAACATATTACACATGATGTGCAGTAGGTAAATAAATAAGTAATGAGACTAATCAAGGCAGCCACTTGCAGAGGAGGTGTTAAAAGAAAGAAGAAATGTCAAAAGTAGTGTGTGGAAAAGTGCAAAATAAAAATTGATATCAAGAATCATAGGACTGGGGAAGCTCTTGAAATACAGTATGAACGTTAGTGTTTACTGGAACGGGAGCTAATGCCATTCTTAGCCTCTGCTGTCTAAGCAGCATTATACATGCATTGATTGAAATAAACGGAGCAGGGGAGGGGGATAGTTTTCTGTCAAAGCTCCTAGAATCAGATTCAATTCAGGTCTCATCAAAGAGCCTGCAAAGAAGTAACATTTTTCTCTTTAAAGTGTTTTTTTTCTATTTCTTCATATTGAAATATTTCATACCTTCAGGATTATTTCCTGTATGTTTGGTTGTTTTTTTTTTGTTGATGTTTTACAGCAAGGCTCTGGGAAGGATTCACTAGAACTTGGAGTTGCTGTAGTTGGTGTTCACCACTGCGAGCGATCTCTACCCCAGAGCTTTGCAGGACATGCAGCTTCTATTTAGCTGCATTAGTCGTTAGTTGTCTATTATGGTCCAATGGTTTTGGTCTTTTTTTGTATATGCATAAAATGTGACCCACCATCTTTAAACTTTAAAGTGAACCTCTTGACATGGTGGAAACTTTTTTTAAATTATGTTGATTTTAGTGAATTTTAGTAAAATAATGATTTTTACTTTTACTCTGCAAGTGATGGCAGAAAAGAACTGATCGATGTTGGTGTGTCTGTGTGTCCGTCCCAGTTTGCTGACCAGCAACAGGGAACAGACCACTTCTGATTCCCCGCTCTCTGTGGTTTTTATTAGAGTTCCCGCTGCCTTACCAGGCTGAATTTTACATCAAAAACATGAACGTGGAGGAGATGCTGGCCAGTGAGGTGCTGGGAGACTTTCTGGGTGCAGTGAAGAATGTGTGGCAGCCTGAGCGACTCAATGCTATCAACATTACCTCTGCGTTGGACCGCGGCGGCCGCGTGCCTCTGCCTATCAACAACCTAAAGGAAGGGTGAGGATCTGGACTCACATTATTAATCTTGAAGTTAAAGTCTTCTGAAGGGGCTTCCTGAGGTTCTGTCCAAACAACAAATTATCATTAGCCTTAGCTCACTTACTCCTCTGATATTTTCTGTAATTGGGGCTTTGAGGATCCTCCGTTCCCTGTAAATCAGATAAAAACACCCCAACATCTGCACCGACAAGACCCTGAGCTTGTTAAGCTTAAACGGAAGCCCCACATGACCCGCTTTGAGCTGTGCTTCAAAGATTGACGCTAATGCTACAGAAGATAAAAGCATATAGGAGAAACCCCAGAGGAGCAGAAATACTCTCTTATAAGCCCGTGTATAAATATATAACACAAGTCTTCTCTTCAGTGTATATGTGATGGTTGGTGCGGACGTTCCCTTCTCATCGTGCCTGCGGGAGGTGGAGAACCCACATAACCAGCTGCGCTGCAGTCAGGAGATGGAGCCTGTCATCAGCTGTGACAAGAAATTCAGAGCTCAGTTTCACATCGACTGGTGTAAGATCTCCCTGGTGAGGACGGTCCTGCATTAATCTGCCTCGCTTCAGAAATCCAACCCAGTAGAGAATGAAAAAATGATAGTTTTCTTTATCTCAAATGAAACTTAAATTAGTTTTCTGTCCCAGGTTGATATCAACAAAGTGGTCCCTGTGTATATCACCCGCCCCGATCCGGGCACAGGAATACTCCCCGAGTTCGGGGAGTACAACCCTCCGTCAGAGTCTCTGAAGAGCCGCGACTATTTCTCCGACTTCCTGGTAACGCTGGCTGTTCCTGCCGCTGTGGCAGTCGTCCTCTTCTTCATCCTCGGCTACACCATGTGCTGCAGACGGGAAGGGGTGTAAGTGTACATGGTCTTTGCATGACCTTCTTCACCGGTGTTATTGCCAAGTAGCGACCGGGTTAGTGATAAATCTTAAGATGAAAGGAGAATAAGGAAATGGCAGCGAAGGGTTTAATTAGCAGCAGGTTAACGATCCTGACTGAAAAAGCAGCTTGTCATCTCCATCTGGTGTCGTTACCCATTTATATTAAGTTCTTCATCAATTTACATTCATGTTTTGTTTCCTGTCAAACCATTGAAGGTCATTTATCCACATTGATTGATCGTTTACAGGCTGGACGAGAAACACCCCCTCTCCTCCATTTCCACGTCCACTCCCACTTAATGCAGCATTTCATTCATGTGTGTTTAGATGTTGCTTCAACTATTAATATTAGTATTTAATTCATCCATTTTGTTTTGTTTCTAGGGAAAAAAGAAACATGCAAACACCAGCGTAAGTGTTTTACCTCTCCTGTGTTTTTTTTTTTTTTGTCTTTTTTCCGGCCTGTTTTTCTGTTCCTTTTTCTTTAAATCACTGTTTTTGCCATTTTTTGTTGCCATTCACGGCTGCTCATTTTCATTCATCTGCTCATCTGTGCGTTGCCATCCATTCATTTAATGGGCTGCTGAAATTCAGTGACCAGCTGCAGGGGGTTAGGGGTGAACAAAAATGTTACACATAAGTAATGTAGCGAGAGAAAACTACTCCTCTGCATCCTCAACATTAGGATTCTTTTTATTTTGTGCATGAACAAACTCCTGAACGATCTCCTCGCAGGTTTATATACAGGTGCTGGTCATAAAATTAGAATATCATGAAAAAGTAGATTGATTTCAGTAATTCCATTTAAAAAGTGAAACTTGTATATTATATTCATACATTACATACAAACTCATATATTTCAGATGTTTATTTTGTTTAATTTTGATGATTACAAATGACAACAAATGAAAATCTCAAATTCATCATATCAGAAAATTAGAATATTACTGAAGACCAATAAAAACAAAGGATTTATAGAAATGTTGGCCAACTGAAAAGTATGAACATGAAAAGTATGAGCATGTACAGCACTCAATATTTAGTTGGGCCTCCTTTGGCCTGTATTACTGCAGCAATGCGGCGTGGCATGGAGTCGATCAGTCTGTGGCACTGCTCAGGTGTTATGATAGCCCAGGTTGCTCTAATAGTGGCTTTTAGCTCTTCTGAATTGTTGGGTCTGGTGTATTGCATCTTCTTCTTCACAATACCCCATAGATTTTCTATGGGGTTAAGGTCAGGAGAGTTTGCTGGCCAATTAAGAACAGGGATACCATGGTCCTTCAACCAGGTACTGGTAGCTTTGGCACTGTGTGCAGGTGCCAAGTCCTGTTGGAAAATGAAATCTGCATCTCCAAAAAGTTGGTCAGCTGCAGGAAGCATGAAGTGCTCTAAAACTTCCTGGTATGTGGCTGCGTTGACCCTGGACCTCAGAAAACACAATGGACCAACACCAGCAGATGACATGGTACCCCAAACCATCACTGACTGTGGAAACTTTACACTGGACTTCAAGCAACGTGGATGAAGTGCCTCTCTTCTTTTCCTCCAGACTCTGGGACCTTGATTTCCAAAGGAAATGCAAAATTTACTTTCATCAGAGAACATGACTTTGGACCACTCACCAGCAGTCCAGTCCTGTTTCTCTTTAGACGCTTCTGACGCTGTCTGTGGTTCAAGAGTGGCTTGACACAAGGAATGCGACAGCAGAAACCCATGTCTTTCATACGTCTGTGTGTGGTGGTTCTTGAAGCACTCACTCCAGCTGCAGTCCACTCTTTGTGAATCTCCCCCACATTTTTGAATGGGTTTTGTTTCACAATCCTCTCCAGGGTGTGGTTATCTCTCTTGCTTGTACACTTTTTTCGACCACATCTTTTCCTTCCCTTCGCCTCTCTATTAATGTGCTTGGACACTGAGCTCTGTGAACAGCCAGCCTCTTTAGCGATGACCTTTTGTGTCTTGCCCTCCTTGTGCAAGGTGTCGATGGTCGTCTTTTGGACAACTGTCAAGTCAGCAGTCTTCCCCATGATTGTGTAGCCTATAGAACTAGACTGAAAGACCATTTAAAGGCTTTTGCAGGTGGTTTGAGTTAATTAGCTGATTAGAGTGTGGCACCAGGGGCCATCAATTTTGAACCTTTTCACAATATTCTAATTTTCTGATATGATGAATTTGAGATTTTCATTTGTTGTCATTTGTAATCATCAAAATTAAACAAAATAAACATCTGAAATATATGAGTTTGTATGTAATGTATGAATATAATATACAAGTTTCACTTTTTAAATGGAATTACTGAAATCAATCTACTTTTTCATGATATTCTAATTTTATGACCAGCACCTGTAAAACCACAAATGTTCACCGCTTCTCTGTTTCTCTAGCATCCAGCTGGTTCATCACAGCGCCATTCAGAAGTCCACCAAGGAGCTACGGAGCATGTCAAAGAACCGCGAGATCTCCTGGCCTCTCTCCACCCTGCCTGTCTTCAACCCAGTCAGCGGAGAGGTGGTGCCGCCCATACACCCTGACAGCTACGAGACCACCAGCATGCCACTCATGCAGACACAGACGTGAGTAAATTTCTACGAATGGGTTCATAAATGTATTTTAAACAAAAGTTTTATCAGGATGTATTGTTTAAAATGTATCTTTTTTGTGTTGATTTCAGGAATTTGCAGAATCAGATCACGATACCACAGCAAAGGCCGTCAGGTTAGTCCTTTCATGAGATTCATAACACAACGTGTGAAGAATAGCAGCAATGCATGCTCAGCGATTTGCTTATACAGGTGCTGGTCATAAAATTAGAATATCATGAAAAAGTAGATTGATTTCAGTAATTCCATTTAAAAAGTGAAACTTGTATATTATATTCAATTCAATTCAGTTTATTTATATAGCGCCAAATTCACAACACATGTCATCTCAAGGCACTTTACAGTTCAACCAGATCATACAGTCAAATTGATACAAAGTTTTCTATCTAAGGAAAACCAGTTGATTGCATTGACTCATTGACTCAAATACAATCCCCCACACTAAGCATATTCATACATTACATACAAACTCATATATTTCAGATGTTTATTTTGTTTAATTTTGATGATTACAAATGACAACAAATGAAAATCTCAAATTCATCATATCAGAAAATTAGAATATTACTGAAGACCAATAAAAACAAAGGATTTATAGAAATGTTGGCCAACTGAAAAGTATGAACATGAAAAGTATGAGCATGTACAGCACTCAGTATTTAGTTGGGCCTCCTTTGGCCTGTATTACTGCAGCAATGCGGCGTGGCATGGAGTCGATCAGTCTGTGGCACTGCTCAGGTGTTATGATAGCCCAGGTTGCTCTAATAGTGGCTTTTAGCTCTTCTGAATTGTTGGGTCTGGTGTATTGCATCTTCTTCTTCACAATACCCCATAGATTTTCTATGGGGTTAAGGTCAGGAGAGTTTGCTGGCCAATTAAGAACAGGGATACCATGGTCCTTCAACCAGGTACTGGTAGCTTTGGCACTGTGTGCAGGTGCCAAGTCCTGTTGGAAAATGAAATCTGCATCTCCAAAAAGTTGGTCAGCTGCAGGAAGCATGAAGTGCTCTAAAACTTCCTGGTATGTGGCTGCGTTGACCCTGGACCTCAGAAAACACAATGGACCAACACCAGCAGATGACATGGCACCCCAAACCATCACTGACTGGGGAAACTTTACACTGGACTTCAAGCAACGTGGATGAAGTGCCTCTCTTCTTTTCCTCCAGACTCTGGGACCTTGATTTCCAAAGGAAATGCAAAATTTACTTTCATCAGAGAACATGACTTTGGACCACTCACCAGCAGTCCAGTCCTGTTTCTCTTTAGCCCAGGCAAGACGCTTCTGACGCTGTCTGTTGTTCAAGAGTGGCTTGACACAAGGAATGCGACAGCAGAAACCCATGTCTTTCATACGTCTGTGTGTGGTGGTTCTTGAAGCACTCACTCCAGCTGCAGTCCACTCTTTGTGAATCTCCCCCACATTTTTGAATGGGTTTTGTTTCACAATCCTCTCCAGGGTGCGGTTATCTCTCTTGCTTGTACACTTTTTTCGACCACATCTTTTCCTTCCCTTCGCCTCTCTATTAATGTGCTTGGACACTGAGCTCTGTGAACAGCCAGCCTCTTTAGCGATGACCTTTTGTGTCTTGCCCTCCTTGTGCAAGGTGTCGATGGTCGTCTTTTGGACAACTGTCAAGTCAGCAGTCTTCCCCATGATTGTGTAGCCTATAGAACTAGACTGAAAGACCATTTAAAGGCTTTTGCAGGTGGTTTGAGTTAATTAGCTGATTAGAGTGTGGCACCAGGGGCCATCAATTTTGAACCTTTTCACAATATTCTAATTTTCTGATATGATGAATTTGAGATTTTCATTTGTTGTCATTTGTAATCATCAAAATTAAACAAAATAAACATCTGAAATATATGAGTTTGTATGTAATGTATGAATATAATATACAAGTTTCACTTTTTAAATGGAATTACTGAAATCAATCTACTTTTTCATGATATTCTAATTTTATGACCAGCACCTGTATTCCGTACTTGCTAGTGGTGTCCCGAAACAAATTTTGATTTCCGATATGATACCAATACTTCAGTTTTGAGAATTAACTGATATGGATATTGACCGGATAAGATATTAGTATGAATCATACCAGATTTTATTTTTTTATTTTATACTGTAGAATGTTAGAGACAGTCAAGTAATATTAATAAAACAGAAGATCAGAAGTCAACAACAAAAGCTATGCTATTGAAGATTCTCAGTCATCCAGGTCAAGGTCATTCGAAGGCTAACGAAGAACCCAAACGACCCTCATTCCTAAGGGACGGACCTGTTCGTCCTGTTCAATTTGCATGTTTTCTAAGCCAAAACAAGGCTTTGCTTTTGGTCCACTCTATAAAGCCTCGAACTCGAAGCTATTTCTAACATTTTGAATCAAAAAAGCCTCCTGGAAGGGAAGCAAAATGTCTTCAAACTTTGAAACAAAGTCCAGTGGATTGTTTTCTAACTTTTTTGGAACAAAAGCTATGAAAACAACTGAAAATATCAGAGATTTTAGATGCTGTCCAATTAAAATCTGACAGTAGTTTTTTGGCTAATATCGAATCTATTTTATTATTAGATTGGGACACCCCTAGTAGCTGCATGTTCATCATTCTGCTTTCGCTTCCATGGTGAAGTTTCATCCCTAACCAACATAGGTCTGAACTCTTAAATTTGCTTAAAAATATAACATCTAACATCAAGGATCTATCCAACAGCAATCTTTGTCTTTTGGGTATTTAATACAAATATATTAATACAGTAAGATGTAAAAATTTAATAGTTTAAAAGAATAAACGGTGGCAAATATATACTTATAAGGTGCCTGAAATTTAAATCCTTAATTGTATTTATTTTAACTTCTGAAAACTCTTCCACAAAACAAAAATCCTCTTCATTTCATTGGCTTTGCTATAGAGGATTTAAATAATGAAATCTCATCTGCTTCCTAGATATATCTGGGTCATTGGATGTACTTTGAAAATTCCCTTAACAAAGAAGCAAATTACATGTGGAGAAGAAATCCCAGTTTGTCTCCATTATGATGCTGGTGTGTGAGCGCCCTCTTGTGAGCATGACAGTCAACTGCATGGAGCACTAACCAACTGCTCTCTCTGTTCACTGCTAACAAAAGGAGATAATTATGTCATGTCGACGTTTCGAAGACTGGAGGTAGGTGCATCTGATGTAAGTTTATGTTGATGTGATTAATGTCTTATTTTACTATTTCCTCTGGTAAGATTTTGAACTTTTTCACTTTAGGAGATCCGCAGGGTTTCTACTTATATTACTGTGAACGTGGCTGTTTCATTGCCATTTGCTCTAGTTAAAATTGATCTTAATGATTTTTTTTGTGATGAGATCTTCAAACAGCTGCATTTCAGAGGCCTTTTAGCCATTTGGGGCCCATTTCACAAAGCAGGGTTAGTGGGAATCCAGAGTAAGTTCTGGTTTGAATCCCTGCATTCCCGCCATTGCCTGCTTCTGAAAGCGAGGTAGACGTTACTCTTAGTACAATTATGTCAACAGATTACTGTGAAACAACCGTGATTGGTTGTTTGGAGAAACGCCAAGTTTTTGTACTTCTGATCTGCACAAAAAAGTAGCATCCTTTTCTAGAACAACCTGTTGAGGTCAAGAGTGTAAATACTCAAAAGATTTTTATCCGGAGAGGGTGATCAGACCGTGTGATATGTTTAATCATTTCCAGAGGAATATCTCTTCTTAAAATGTGCTTTAATAAGGGCATCGGATTATAATAATTCTAAAAAGATACTTATAGTACTTTCATGTTAAAAAGGGCTGCAACTAACAATCATTTTACCAATCTAGTTGATTTTTTTATTTTTTTTATTTGGATATATCAAGTGATAACAGGATAGCAAAAAGTTACTTAAAGAATTTTTTTTACACTATGTAAACCAGATGAAACTCTAGATAGAGCGTAGTTCGATTGAAGAATTTCTTTCAACTAATAGGAAAAATGTTAATATATATACACTCACCGACCACTTTATTAGGTACCCCATGCTAGTAACGGGTTGGACCCCCTTTTGCCTTCAGAACTGCCTCAATTCTTCGTGGCATAGATTCAACAAGGTGCTGGAAGCATTCCTCAGGGAGTTTGGTCCATATTGACATGATGGCATCACACAGTTGCCGCAGATTTGTCGGCTGCACATCCATGATGCGAATCTCCCGTTCCACCACATCCCAAAGATGCTCTATTGGATTGAGATCTGGTGACTGTGGAGGCCATTTGAGTCCAGTGAACTCATTGTCATGTTCAAGAAACCAGTCTGAGATGATTCCAGCTTTATGACATGGCGCATTATCCTGCTGAAAGTAGCCATCAGAAGTTGGGTACATTGTGGTCATAAAGGGATGGACATGGTCAGCAACAATACTCAGGTAGGCTGTGGCGTTGCAACGATGCTCAATTGGTACCAAGGGGCCCAAAGAGTGCCAAGAAAATATTCCCCACACCATGACACCACCACCACCAGCCTGAACCGTTGATACAAGGCAGGATGGATCCATGCTTTCATGTTGTAGACGCCAAATTCTGACCCTACCATCCGAATGTCGCAGCAGAAATCGAGACTCATCAGACCAGGCAACGTTTTTCCAATCTTCTATTGTCCAATTTCGATGAGCTTGTGCAAATTGTAGCCTCAGTTTCCTGTTCCTAGCTGAAAGGAGTGGCACCCGGTGTGGTCTTCTGCTGCTGTAGCCCATCTGCCTCAAAGTTCGACGTACTGTGCGTTCAGAGATGCTCTTCTGCCCACCTTGGTTGTAACGGGTGGTTATTTGAGTCACTGTTGCCCTTCTATCAGCTCGAACCAGTCTTGCCATTCTCCTCTGACCTCTGGCATCAACAAGGCATTTCGGCCCACAGAACTGCCGCTCACTGGATGTTTTTTTCTTTTTCGGACCATTCTCTGTAAACCCTAGAGATGGTTGTGCGTGAAAATCCCAGTAGATCAGCAGTTTCTGAAATACTCAGATCAACCCTTCTGGCACCAACAATCATGCCACGTTCAAAGTCACTCAAATCACCTTTCTTCCCCATACTGATGCTCGGTTTGAACTGCAGGAGATTGTCTTGAACATGTCTACATGCCTAAATGCACTGAGTTGCCGCCATGTGATTGGCTGCTTAGAAATTAAGTGTTAACGAGCAGTTGGACAGGTGTACCTAATAAAGTGGCCGGTGAGTGTATATATATATATATATATATATATATATATATATATATATATATATATATATATATGTATGTATTTTTTTTCCTATAATCTAGCTCATTTGATACTTTTAATATTAAAATGATTTGCATGGATTGTGTTTACCATCCACCAAAATCATTTGTCTTCTTCAGCGTCTTAATTTGATGCTGTAAAATGTGCTCTTAGTGACTCCCGTCCTGTTGCCGTGGTGAATCAGTATGCTTCCTCGCACCAATGTAGTTAGCATAAGGACCGCCAACATTTCTAGACACCTCTTCGAAAGGAACAGCTGCCCACAATCCTTTGTGTGACGAGACACATAAGCACAGACATTGAGTTTTTACAAAAATAAATTATTTCTCCTACTCTTTACGCATTGGAGAAATAATGTAGCACATGCTAATGTACACATCTTCATGATTTGGGTTTCATAACAGAGAGCTTCAGCTGTGCACTACATTTAACTTTTTATCGTAGTTCTCTATTGCTAGGACTGTAGTCCCTATTTGAACAGAATAATTAATGTTTCTGTCCGCTGTGTAATGACATCTGTACGGCTAAAAGGCTGTCTGGAGCTCCTTTCCTACCCTGAATAATATACATACTGTTGAGCCTGTGAAAGATATGAGCTAGGAACAGGAAATACAGTTTGACATAGTTAGATCGAGCCTCAGAGTTGACTAGATGCAGAGTTTAGTTACCGACTGATATCACCTGTTTTAAATCCGTACACTGAGTAGCAAATTGATTTATCTGTCAACAATTTTTTCACCAATGGATTAACAATCGGATAGCCCAAAGTTCCTTAAAGAAGATTTTTTTTTTTTTTAGTGAAATTAAAGCAGGTGAAACTCAAACCTTTCCATCTGTGGAGTTGTGGTTAGAGTATATTGACAGATAAAAACACTCTTTTTTTATCTTAAACGCAAAATTTTTATAGATATTTTTACAATTTTGATATAATTACTGCTCTAAGTGGGTCGCTCTGCCAACTAAAGGCACATTTTACAGTCTGTATTATCCAGTAAATGGTTAATCAATTACTAAAATAGCAGATTATTTCACTAATCGATTAATCAGGATTAATCCGATTGTTTCTGCCCTAGAAGAGACTATCTGCTTACTACTCAGTAAGTCAGGGGCCCTGAATGATTAAAAAAAAGAAACAAAAGCACCTTTAGAACTTTATTTTAATTTTGTATACCATGATATTGTAATCCCTATCCATGCCTTATTTCTAGTATGTAACCATTTGTTTTAAATTGTTCTCCTAGGTAAATGGTATCCCTGAAGAAAGGAAGGTGGCTGAAGCACTTAACCTATGACCAGAAGCAGCAGCGTAGGAACCGCCTTCCTCCTCTCTGTCATGTTTTCTAATATTTGTGCCAAAAATTAGGTAGCATATGAACAAAGGATGCGACTGCCATATAATGTATGAATCCTCCAACGATGTCAGTTATGGTAATCCCACGTTGTTTCCCAGACACTTTTCAATGCTTTCTAGTAACATTCAGTGTTTTTCTGGCATGTAAACATGGGATCGATTCAAGTTGCAATATTCTAGATATATATTTGCATTCCTGGTGCCAATCTGCATGTCATATGAAAGATTTTAATAATATATGACCTTTAAACTTACCTTTGTAAGAATATGGTCCATGATTAAAAGAGTTGGGTTTATGTTAAACATGTCGCCATCTTTGTTTGCACAATGTAACTCAAGAGTAAAAACCTGTAATGTTCCAATTTGATGTAATATATGTTGGTAATAAAATCTTTACCAATTGTCAAGAGGTTTTCACTTATTAAAAGCACACCCATCAAAACAAAACAAATCCAAAACATGTCTTTTTATTAAGGTATTTTTTTAAATGATGTACAGCAGAATAAAGTCATTTATAAATATGAAGACATTTTCCACATTTTGACAGACACCATAACACAAAAACATTTGAGGCCCTTTAAAAAGGTTGTATTATTTGTTGCTTTTACACGATCAAACAGATCAATTAAGGCGTGAAACAACTGGCAAATCTACCACTTTGCTGCAGATGAATAAAAGAACAGAGGTTTGTAAACCTTTCTATGAATCAAAGGGAGATGGTAGCATGTGAATACCGCTCTTAATTGCACAATTAGGTTCTGACTGCAAGTAAAGATTGCTGCGTTACCTCTGGAGCTGCAGATTCTGTTTAAACTAAAAAAAAAAACATATAGAATGATCGAAAACCAAAGTTTTACTACTCAAAGGTAGGCGAGGTGTGCAGCTCAAAAATTCATAGCCAACAGATTTTATATATTTTCTATAAGCAAAAAATGCACATTAAAAAAATGTGCCAAACTCTGAATTTTATCTCTAAGATAAAAAACAACTTATCTCTGCAGCTTTAAAATGAAAGTGCTCCCTCTCTCTTAAATGAGTACCAAAAGAGAAAAAAAACAAGCCCACCTGCTAACAGGTGTGTTAATATTTTCATGTATAAGTAGAGTCCTCAGCGTCATCAGTGCATTACAGAGTGGTTTTCTAATGCTGAATGGCTCTGAATTCAACATTCGAACATGTACTGAATGCAGAACTCTAAGAAATATCCAAAGGCCTTCACCTAGACATAAAAAAAAAAAAATAAATAAAACAGACTGCCTCCTCCACAGCTATTTTAGTTCACAGGCTGAAAGCTGTTATTTCTACGGTAGAACAATATGTGCAACGTGGTGTGTTTTCCACCACCGCTATTATGAGGCATCTAAATGTAGGAACAGCTGTACAAAATAAATCTGTCCTATCAAACAAATATACATATATTTACACCACGTGTGCTGCTTACAGGACACACGACTTGGACTAAAAGGCTCAACCTTGTCTATGGGATAGCAGGATGGGTACAAAAATCTCTATGCGATACGTCACAAACAGCAGTTATGGACATATAGTACAAAACGAAGCCAGAATGGTATAAAATAGGTGCTTAATTTAAGTCATTAAATACTGTACATGTCATTTCTGAACTACAGCAGCGCCTTTCCGAAAATGCAATAATCTCAAACACTGCTTAAAAAAAAAACATGTAGGAGTATATTCTTAAAAATTTAGCGATTGCACTGCAGATTTTTACATTAGCCTCGATAGCTTTTGGATCCGTCAAGTGACTCTAGTAATACAGAGGATCAATGAGAAGATGTTACACAGTTCAGCATGTTTGTAATATCCAACTATTCTGGTCATGCTGCATCCATGTGGACGGAGAGATCCTCTCTCTCAGGAACCAGAACCAAAGACTTCATGTTAAAATGTGTTCAGGGCAGCAGAGGAAGAGGGTTTTGGAGCTGTAAACATTTCAGTGTTTTTGTCTCCTGCTGAGATGACGTATTTTACAGCAGTACCACAATTGAAGTGCTCTGACTTGTCTCCTGGGAAACAAAATCCATAGTTTGACCTGTTTTTAAACACCTCGGACCATAACCTGGCCCCTCCCATCTTAAAGTATCCTTCAGGTCCCAGGCGTGAGCTGGTCCCCTCTGCTCAGCAGCAGTAAAATCAGACTGACGACCCCTGCTGCTCCCAGCTTCCTCAGCAGGGCCATGCTGTCTTTGGGGATGACCACCTGAGCCAGGTCGTTGGTGATGAGAGAAACCTCGTGAGCAACGCAAACAAAGATGAAGGTGCTGACCAAGATGTTGAGTGTTGGGTTCCCCGGGATCAGGACAAGGATTCCTTTGGTGTCTGCCGCCAGCCAAATGTGGTACTGACATATGAACAGCTGGGGGCGACAGTGTCAGAGAATATCAATCAAAAACTCATTAGACACAAATATTTCTGTTCATTTTAATAATTTTGGCATACAGCAGAAGAAAAGCCATAAAATCAGACTTCTTTTTATTTTACTGGCTCTGGTGGTGGAAATAGGGTTGATATGTGGCAAAGTTCAATGGGCCAGAAGTGAGGCCGCCTGAACAACAGTCACTGCTCTACTGCCACACCAGCAGATAATTATATTAACTTAAGATAATAAAATGCCATGTTATGATGCACACTCCCATCTCATCCTTGTGTATAAAAAAATATTAACAAGCTGACTCTTATAAAGCAGTCCAGCATACAGTCATCTGTCACATGGAGGGGGAGCCCCGAATGAGGATCACTGGAGGTTTAACTGCAGGGATGCTCTTGGAGGATTGAGTAGGCAGAAAAAGTGTGATATAGACAGGCGGGCGGGGGAGGACATTCAGAAAGTCCACTTTTCTGATTAAAATGTGTGAGAATTTCATATTTTACTCTGCTCACAACTTTACGAAGAAGCAGCTTTAATTTCCAGGCAGGACTCTGCATCTGTACTGGCTATGGTGTTACTGTGTTTGGTCAGCCAGGAAACTTTCCTGACCTTTAGAGCATCTGACTCCTGAAAAAATAATCCAGAAGAGCTGATGGTTGCTATTTAAGCATCCTGGACTTCCTTAACGTCTCTGCAGGACATCAGGATCCTCCCCTCCATGTAACTGATGTAGTATATCATGCAAATGGACACCCTGAATATTCATATATATATATATATATTATATACAGAGGTAATACCATTTAATATGCTGACATATCTGCATGTCAAATATTTTCCTTTTCCTATAATATATTCTGAGAACCAATCTGGGGTTTTACTAGCTGCAACGCAAAATCAAAATAAACAGAAAAATGCTTGAAATATTAATCTATACAAAGTGTTATTTCATTCCAGGCCTCTGCAGACAGAAGCATCCTACCTCCAGAGAGATCTTTCCAAACCAGGAGAAAAACGAGCTGTACACGGAGCGCGCATAGCCAGGAATGTTCCTGATAAGAATGAAGGCCAAAATCTGTCAACACACCAGGACAGAAAAAACAGAAAGCGATGAGCTATAGGATCTACCATGTGGTGCTCCGAGTTTAGGACGTTCAATCAGGTAGATAAATTCCCAACAGACATGATCATTTAGTTTGTCCTTGTTTTCTAGAGATGCATTTTGGAGCAGTTTGACATAAATGCTACAATTTGGAATTTAATCTTGAAATGTAAAATTTGGAATGCCATTATGTATTTGGTAAGAAAAATACAGTTCCTTCTGAAAAAAAAAACAACAAAAAAAGTCTTTTTATGACCTTTCACACGCAAATGCCCAACTTATGTACATAAAGTAAAAAAATATGCCCAGGCACATCTAAATAACCGTTTGTCCAATAAGGGAGCACCATAGCTCTGTGATAAAGCTTGCTTTCTACAGAATCCAATGATATGAACCAATTTGAGATGATGCATATCATTATAATCTCACAAGCGAGAGTAGCAGAGGCCTTTGTGATTTATGCAGGGTAACAGATTCCAAGTATATAACAAGATATTTTTGAGTGATCAGCTGCTAATGATCACCGTTTTGCTAATGAGTTTGGCTTTGGCCAATTCAGTGTTTTGTTGGCTTCCATACGAAATGCATTATTCAGTGCAGCTATGCATGTAGTTGAAAACAGGTCCACCAAAACAGAAACAGGGTTATAAATTGCATTTTGGGTATGTGAGTGCTTTTTGACACATAATAATCATGCCTGCTGGAAATGTATAGAGGACTTAAATTATATATATATATAGAAAGAAATGAGAAGAAAATGGAAATTGTACCTGGACCACAGAGATGAAAGGGTGCATCTCATTGCACTCGGTTTTGGTTTTACAGCTGCTTGCCCATATTGAGTAAGTCTAGAAAACCAGAAGGACAGGTTAGGTGTATGTCTGTAAAGCAGAAGGTTGACTCAAACCTTTATGAAGTTCTTCAGCTGTAAAGTGTAGCTGCTTACAATAAAAGAAACGACAGAGAGGAAAAGGAGCAGGTTGGAAATTTTTCCAGGGAAGAGAGCCTCTCCTTTACCCTCTGACAGCACCTGACGCTTCTGCAGCACCAGGTAGAGGAAGGCAAACACCATACCGTGAATCACAGCCTGGAAAACAACAACAGTTTACTTCACCTTCAGCAAAGAAAAAGGGTGTGCCAACCACATTTGACTTACAAATCGGTCCAGCTTCCATCTGAACCACCACTCATGGATGCTTCCATTCAGCTCGAAGAGCTTGGAGATGGGCCACACTGACAAGACGCTCTCAAAGAAACTCTGGAGTCATAAAACGGAACAAAAGTCAGACTGATGCCGGGCAGGATTTCAGAAGACCGCACATTAAAAAATGCTTTAAAATCACAATTACACTTCATCCTGCAGGGCATCAAACACTACAGCAGACATGCACCATTTATGACTCTAAAATGTAGTAAATAAACCCACCTGTGAGAAGGCTAAAAAGCAGATAAACAGCAAAAGGCCCAGTAACTTCACCAGAACTCCCAGATGCCAGATACCACTACCTGTTCAAACATAAACCAACATGGTTTACTTCAAAGCACTCCTGTCTCTACAGCATCAGACATGAAATCATTTTCACTGTGGTTATACAAAGTTTCAATAAAAATGTTTTCCATACACTAATCATTAGCAAGAACTGCATTTATTTTAAGCCATTATCGATCCGTCTGAGCCATACTTGAGCACACAGAAAGAAAAAAGGGCTTTTTAACTTTAAGTTATAATAACAGTGCTGGGGGAATGAATGAATGAGGTGTAATAATGAAGTAGGGCTGGGCGATATGAAGAAAATATAATATCACGATATATTTGGGTTATATCGCATTACACAATATATATCAAAATATGTTTAAATTACCTTCAAAAAAAATAAAGTGCATAAAATATCACTGATACACTCATTCAAACTTTCAGT